GGATGAACCCAGGAAACCCATAGTGGGGGCTTTTTGTGCCTGCTTCATATACTGGGATCGTGTGTGTGTGTGTGTGTGTGTGTGTGTGTGTGTGTGTGTGTTGTCTAAAGTGAGTTTTTTTTTTCTCTGCCAAAACCTAAATGACAAAATGACTCCTGAACCCCGGAGTCTTTTCTGGCCTAGAAAAACTGTGTTTAAAAAATAAAAATAAAATTGAGCAGTTTGATATTAAATTAGACCTCTCAGCCCAACAGGAGGATGCTGACTGTGTATAAAAACTCACCCTTTATTTCTCAGAAGTATAATCGTGCTTTAAGTATGGTCTCCAGAGCTGCATATGGTCATACCTAGCCAGTGGGCCAGCATCCATCATGCTGTATCACCTAGTTAATTCCAAGCTATCATAGCTCTAATATCATCGTTGATTTGTTTGTCTTACATAGTGAAACTTGCAGCTGGATGAATAGTGACTGGAGATGTGACCGGCATGTAGCTTGGGACAAATACTGTATCTTTAACAGAGGGGTTTGGGGGTGGGAATGGGGAAGACAGTTAGTGCAGCTGACAAGGCTGTAGTTGTCTATTGTGGTCTAAATGTGTCCATTGCTCTGGTTTTTATTCTTTCTGCTTGTTCCACTAACTACAAAGCCAGCTTCTCCTGGCTATTTTAATACAGGAATTTTCTTTTGCTAGAGGACAATACCATTCATTACTTTTTCAAAAGAAACCACTGAACCTTGCCTCTCCCTACTTCCCATCTCATTTATTATCTATATGTAGTTCTTGCCTTCATTGCCTACCAGCCACTGAGCTGAACAAAAATGTAATTGTTTCCATGGAGTCCTAAACCAACCCAAGCAAAGCTGAAATTCAAGCTAATTGAAACCAAAATTCCACTTAAAACTGCTTAGACTCTGGGTGGTGCTGCAGTAGGAAGTTGTTACAAAAGGTGTTTATTTCAGAGGCTAATTTGAGGCAGTTAGACTCAAAGCAAGCAGTATTTTATTTGCCTAAGTTTCTTGGCATGTGCCACTGCACTCTGAAGAGAGGACAGAAGGAGACATGTTTGGGGAAATGTAGAATTGATGGTATTTCATGGGGGTAGGTTCTTGATGGAATTGAGATAATATTTCTTAGAGAAAAGGAAGCTTAAACTTTTGCCCTGTCCTTTACAGCTGCCTGTGGAATTGTTTTCGTCTTTCATGCTCTTAAAGCCCTGAGTCAGTTCTGACCACTCATAAGCAGGAAAGTCAGAACTCGTCACATTAATGCTTTATACCCAGCAGTTTTAATGACTGCCCTCTAAAAAGTCAGATACCCCCTAAAAGGCAGGAGCTTCCATTCTCTTTGAAAAAACTAAGTAATTATACGTCATGACCATCTTAGGAGACAAATATCATTGGTTGTGTTTTATAGACAAAGCACTGATTGGTCTGTAACTTGCTCAAGGTATTGTGATGGAAACAGGTTGAGACCAGGTCTGTGACTCCAAAGACACCAAACTGAGTCCTCCTCCTCCCCTGGTGGACACTCAGTGAATATCTGTTGGATGAATGGGTGGATAGCACATGTAGAAACTGGATAAGCAGTTCTTGCTCCCTTTTCTCTATCCTTGTCCTTTTGTCCTCAGCCTAGAGCTTTCTTTTTCTATTTTTTATAACACCAGGGTAACTTATTAAAGATTACTTAAATTTAAAAGTAATCTTTGCAAAAACTTTTACTATCCCAAACAAGGAAGGAGTTTGCACATGACCATGCAGCAGAGCTGGGTCTGTCACCCAGGTCTTCCGATCATCCACATCATGTAGCAGTCTTTCCATTTCACTCTAATTATTTTGTGTGTGTGTGTGTGTGTGTGTGTGTGTGTGTGTGTGTGTCCCTCCAATCAGAGGTTTAGTGAACATTAGCATTTAAAAGGAATGAGCAATAAAGATTTTTTTCTTTCAATGTTAAGTAAATCACTTTTTCTTCCTTTTCTGATTCCTATTCTAATTAAGTAAGAAGCCATTACTGAGTTACTAATTTTAAGCCTAGACAGTTCATAGATACGAGGATGGGAATACAGAGAGAGTACATGAGTATCAATGACAGTAAGTATTGTATGTGGAGCACTTACTGTGTACCAGATACAGTACTGTTTTGGATATTTCATATACTTTCTCATATTAAACTCTGTAAGGCTTCAGGAAATCTATCTCTGTAGATTTCCTGGAAGAGATGGACTTGACAGGTTAATTATATAGTTAATCAAATGGAAAAGAATTTTAAAGTTTTGTCCTAGTTTGGAGATTATATAGTGGCAAGTACATAAAAATTAACTGGTGGAAAAAAGTAGCAATTCTCACTTCCAGAAACAAACAAGAAAGTACCAAAAAGGAGTAATATGGGATGCCATTTAGCAGTGAACAATATTTGTGTAGGTGTAATAGGTAAACACCAGATGTTTATTTAACAAAAACTGTGATATTGAACATATTGGAAGGAAAAGAAGGGAAGTAAGTGTGGAAGGGCACAAAGTCAAATTCTCACTTATTAATAAAAATCAGTAGATAATATGTGGAAGGAGGGATGAAATGTTTCTGTGAGACGGGAGACGTGTAAGAAAGCTACATTCTCATTTTCCATGGCGGGAACATGGTAGATAGTGTCTAAAATGGGGGGATGAGAATATTAATATGAACGTATGATTTAGAAAGATTACAGTAAAAAAGAAATCATTAAGAGTGGTTAGCACTAAACAGCAAGAACTGTTATTTTTTCCACTATAAACCTGATAGTAGTGTAGACTTAAACTTCTTGAACATACATGCACTTAAAGCTATGTGTACTGTGTATATAAACTAAAAGGGTGATGCAATACAACTTGGAGCTGCACATAAGAAGTTCTGTCCTTGGCTGTGTCCCTTGTCAACCCTGTGCCTTTCAGCAGGACATGTGCCTTCTTTTTTTTTTTTTGCTATGTGCCTTCTTGAGCTTTAGTTTCTTTATTCTGTGAAAGAACAGAGGTTAGAAAGATGATCTGCAGGTTCTCTTTAAGCTATAAAATCCTAAAATTCTATGACACAAATGTAGTAATATACAGCAGTGCACAGTTAAGAACCGGGTGGAGGCTTGAAGTTCCCTGTTTTCCTTTTTTGGTTGAAATCAGACTTGGAGAGAAATTTTCATTGTGGTCTCTGAAAAGAATTCAACACCCACCTTCTATTGTGGAGCCTGGGGCAGGCAATTCACTGTGTACTGGCTCAGAGACACACAGCTTGGTGTTATTTCAGGATGGGTTTTTTTTATATTTAATATTTTTCAGTATGAATCACAGGTGAAATTTTCATGCCATGTGTAAACAATTTCACGTTTTTATTGAAACAATGAATTCAGGAATGTCATATTGGGATATCAGCCATTTTGCTTTTATCAATGTATGGAGAAATGCTTTTATATTAATATAAGAAATGATGTCATTTAATATGGGGTAGATCTTATAATTCAAGGTCAGCAAATCTCAGGAGGTGATTTAGGTCACCCAGCTAGGTTGGAAAAAGAAGAATATTTTCCCTCTGTCTTCCCAAGTGCTGTTAGCAATTTTTTGCTCAGGCTTTGGAGAGGAGGGGAGAGGAGCATGGACTGCGGAAAGGAGGCCCTGGCTTTTGTGGCTGTGCCATTGAACCTGTGGCCTTGGAGAATTTGCTTCCTCTTTCTGAGCTTCAGTTTTCCCCTCTGCAAAAGGAAACAATTAGAGCTTAAATAATATTCACAATATTTTGTAGTGTTAACACTGTGTGTTTCTGCCCCTGGCTGTCTGTGCATAGTCATTCAGACTGTTCTGGAGACCCGTCACATTTGAGCATTCTTCTGTAAAAGCTCCCCACCAGTGAGAGGGAACTTTTTTCATTAAGTGTCACTTACTGAGAAAAATCAACTGAATACTAGATACAGACAAAAAATTACTCTTGTTGGTAATGGATTTTAAGAGAAGAAAATATTAAAAATTTTACATAAGTACTGAAAAAGTAAAACCTTAAGAGCGATGTTCCTGCCTGATTGTATACTGGTACCCAGTTCTAAAGTTTATAAACTTTCTTCACCTACATTATATCATTGGAAAACCACATTTCTGTGAAGATGTGTTGTCTACTTTCTGTGTGTCTGGAGTACAAATGAGCATATGTGTGAATATATACCGATTATGGTCTGATAAGGACGCAAATGGTAGTATGCAGAAACAGAGTGAAAAGAAGTAGGTGACAATCATTTAGCAAGTTCTCTAAGGTACAAAGAAGAAAACTTAATTTCAGGAAATTGCCTCTGGTAGAAATAAGTCTGATAAAGGGCAGAAATAGCCACACACCAGTGGGTTTCTCATGTCAGCTGTCCAGCTCTGCTCTGCTTCTGGACAGTGAGGAGAGCTGGAGGCTTGAGATAGGAAGCACAGCCCCTGTCAGAAGTAGCTTGCTGTTCATTTGTTTAATGAGCAGTGGCTGAGCACCAGCACTATGCCGAACATTTAAATCGGAGATGAATACAAGTGCTCCTTATCCTTGTTTATACAAAGGGAAGGGCCAAGAAGAGAAGGGAAGCTGCCTGTATCTAAAATGAAATACAGTGCTCATTTTGGGGTGTATGTCCTTGGAGTTGTGGTTAGCAAATGCTGCCAGGGTCAAAGAGCAGAAAGATGACCAGCTACAGTCGGCACTCTTAGTCTTCTGCAAGTTTCGGCCATAATGGGGCAGTAAATGAAGAAACTGTTAAAAACCATCCAAGCAGTGTGGTTGATAGCAGGATCATGCATTTACGTTTCCTGTTTTACAGCTCAAAAAATTACTTCTTCATTTTTCTGAAGCGTTGCCTAGAATCTGCCAAAATGTCTTTTAATTCTATTCTTCTACCTTTGCAGCTAAGATATCAGCATGGACTAGGGACTCCAGACTTGAGGCAAACCCTTCCTAACCTGAAAAACTTCATGGAGCATGGACTAATGGTCAGGTGGTGAGTATCATTGTCTCTGACAGCCAGAAACTGACATGAACCTGAAAACCTTTCCCGACTTCCATGCAGCGGCACACCTGGGCTCCGTTCTGCAATGAGATACCTGAAGAAAAGGAAAGACCCACCTGGCTGAGGAGGGAAGAGCACACTCGGGACAGGAGGTCCCAGGGTATTGTGAGAACAATGGGAAGCTGGCTGTGCATAGCTGAGGCCAAACCTGGAGGAGAGCTGGTATAATTCGTGGAAAGGACATGGGGGTCCTAGGAGTTTTTCGAAGAACAGACAAAGAACATGTATCAAATGAGCATCAGATGGAGTGGCTATGAGACTAAAGAAGGTAGGGAGGGAAGGAGGAGGTCTAGTTTTCAGGACCTCATCTGAGGCCAGCATACATACTAAAATGTGTCTACACTTGGTGTTAGTTATTGTTTACCATGAGGTTAAGCTGCTGCTTAAAAACCTGTGTCAAGATAAACTTGATCCTTTCAAAAAGAGAAGGGGAGCCAGATGTGGTGACACAGGTCTGTAATCTCCATGCTCTGGGAGGCTGGGGCTGGACGATTTCAAGTTCAAGCCCAGGCAGGGTAAGCTAGCAACTTAGTGAGACCATCTCAGAAAAATAATAATGGCTAGGGATGTAGCTCAGTGTAAAGACCCTGAGTTCAGTCCTCAGTACTGGAGAGGAAGAGAGGGAAAGGAGGGAGAAGGAAGAAGGAGAGGCGAGAGAAAGGGAGTCTGATACAAAGAGGACATGAGTTTTACCTAAACAAATGGAAAGCGATGAGCTCTGACCATTTAGTAATTCCTAGAATTTGAATCCTTGTGTAATGGGCCTCAGTTTACAAAATCACTGGAGTGGGAGTCAGGCCTTTAGAGTTCAGACACCTGGGATTATAATTTCTGTAAATTTCATTGAGGTTTGCACATAGTGTTTTGTAAAGAGCACTGGTTTCTGATCCCAGATCTTCTGATCTGCTGGGTGGATTTGAAGTCCTGGCTCTCTGAAATTTGATTTCCTCCTCCATACTCTCTCCTTTGCTTATCTCACTAGTTTGTTGTGAGGATGACATGAAATAGCACATGGTAAAATTGTTATGGAGTGGAAGGGGGTGTGCAAGATGGGTTTCACTTTCTTCTATGCCATGAGGAGACACTTTGAAGATAATAAGAAAGTGACATCTATGGTTCATCTTTGAGGGTTTTGATTTTTGTTCCATATGATCTCAAATGAGAGACTGCAGACATCTGGCTTTAGGTAGAACTCTGTTAAACATACTGTACACCAATGCTTAAAGAATTTCTATTCAGAATGTCAAAATAATTTTCAAAGCTTGGCATTGATATGGATGTAGGTGGATGGCTTGAGGAATGCAGGGAAAGAATTGCATTTTAATGTAAACTAATGCTAATAATAGTAATGGAAGCACTATCACGTTTAGCATCAGCTCTGAGTACAGCTCTACAATTGGCACTCTGGAGGGTAACAAGGAAAACAAAGCTGAAGAAGCCTTGCTCCCAGTGAAGTGGTGGTGTACTACCATTGGAAACGGGGTATCACTCACGAAAAGTTTTTTTCTAATACTAACAGTAAATATGCCAAAATAGTGAAAAAAGAGGCGCCGCATAATGCTACCTGATGAATCACTAAATGAATCTTGCTCAGTACTGATAGCAGATTGTCCCAGTATCCTTCACTGGAGGAGCTGTCACTTCCCACTGATTGATAATGCCACCTTGCTCGCATACCTGCCCTTACGTGCACTGATCCATTTATAGGCTCTCTGTTGTGCCCCATTGTTTTATTTGCCTATCCATGGGCTAGAGCCACATTTTTAATTATTAGAGGATATCATTTCTGTAAGTTTCATTGAGGTTTGAGGCCGCTCAATAAGTAGCTTCTCCCTCCTGTGAGGATTGGAACCATTTATGAGAGAGGATACAAGAGACTGACTAATACAATCAAAATGTCAGTTTTATTACTGATAAAACCACTTGGAAAATGTGGCTTTAGATCTATAATAAAAAGAGCTTGCGAAGACGTCACTCAAAATTATACTTGCCCTTACCGTCACAATAGGACACGCAGAAACCACTGCTTTCCCCAGAGGAGGCCTGTAGTGTCGCAGAGAGCTGTCAGGTGACTCCTCTGCAGGAGGCCAGGCAGGCCTCAGTCAAGGTTACCCTGATTTTCTTTGGCTTCTAATCACCAATCAGAAAAGTCTCGCTCTATGAGAGAGTGGGAAGATGCTGAGTCAGTCAAGCCCTTCATGGGAAGAGAGAGGAAAATGTCTCCAACTTTCTTGATAACTGGCAAGGAAAAACTCCTACTTAAGGTAGTTATGATATAGGGGAAAGCATCTTCCAACCTGAAAGATACGTGGGATGAGTTCATGTTCTCTAAAAATCAAAGAATGAATTTTAGGAGCAACTGAGGTTAAGAGCAGAGTGCATTTATTCAGGGAAAGAAAGCTTCTAGAGAGAGAAGGGAGCCCGAGTGGGTTGCCAAGGACACTGCCTTGTCTACAGATTTTTTTGAGCAGATCAATGACAAAAATCTAAGATGGGAAACATGGGAACCCCCAAGGTGGGCATGAGGTGGGACAAAATATGTTCAACCAATGACATTAGGAGTATAATTGCTCGGGTAAAATTGATTAAATCAGGATCAAATGGGGAAGTGAGTCACGTAGCAAGCGGACATGAATACAGAACCCAAACAGCTGCGCCAGTACAACTCTCCCCACCCATTCGCTACAGTTGCCAGCGTGGTCTTTTTAAGTTCTGGCTGAAGCTTAGTCACTGTGAAGCTTCAGTGGATGTAATATCTTAGGATAAAATCTAAGTTCTTTTCCATGATCTACCTGATTCTGCCTCGTCTGACACCGCCCTCTCCACTCTCGTGTATCAGTCTGGTATGGTCTCTATTTACTTACACAAACAAGCTCTTTTCTGTCTGAGTATCACACTCACTGCTCCTTCTGTCTAAAACATGCTCTCCCTGTTCCTTCTCTGCTACCGCCTCCTCATCCTGTCTGCTCATAGAGAGCAGACATGTAAGAGAAGGCACAGCAGCTTTATTGGCAAAGAACAAACCACGTAAGCTGGAGTCCACATTCATTTTAGGAATGAGTAGAGCGGGAGCTGGGGATATGGCTCAGTGCTCTGGAGTCCTTGCCTAAAATACTCAACGCAGGGTTTGATCCTCAGCCCGAAATGGAGGAGGGGGCCTGGGTTATGGGAGAACTCAACTTAGCACCCCTTTTTAAGCCTTTTAAAAAAGAGAATACAGGGTTGGGGATATAGCTCAGTGGCGCAAGCACCTGCCTGGCAAGTGCAAGGTCCTGAGTTCGATTCCCAGTACCAAAAAAATTAAATAAATAAAAAAGAGAATACAAAATTACAGTTATAAAAATTAGAAAAATATATATAATGAAAAACACAGCAAATTACTGGAAGCTCAGAGAGGAGCCCCCTGTCTTTGAGATCTCTTTAGACAATTTATCCAACATACCGTATTTGCGTAGACCTGTTTCCTCACTGCAGCCTGACTGCCCTTCCCCCGCTAAAACATGGTGATTTCCAGCAGCTCTCAGTTTGAAGGTATGAAGAAGTTAAACGAGTTTCTGAGCATGGTTGACCCATGAACCTGCAGCAGTAAAACAAAAATCTTCATCTTCTGGCACTGATGTAGCAAACCCATTAAGCCCAAACTTACATATTTACACAGTGCCCTTCTGTGCCATCTGTGCCAAGCACATTAACACGGAGTGAACAGTAATGACCACTTTATGGAGCGCTAATGAAAATAGCGGCTACTAAGATGGATGCAAAATGCAGGCGAGCGAATGCTGCAGAATGGTTCCAGCCCAAGACCACCTTAGGAAGCCTGGCTGGAAGTTAGAAATCTAAACAAAGCCGGAACAAGCACTTTCAGCCTCAGGAAACCTGAGAACTTCCGAAAGCAACCTTGAAGAGTTACCTCCCAAGCCTCTGCTCCTTAGGGCAAAGGGTAAAAAAACTCACGCTCCTAAGGGAGGCCTTACATCTTTTGTAAAAGGAAACACTCCCATTTTCTATGTGGTTGTTACCTTTCACGGATTGGTCCCCATGGAAGCATAGTGCTGTCTGTTCTTTTGGTGTTGAGGATTTCAAACTGGCCGAGGATCAGTGCATTCACTGAGTTCCTCCTTATGGTAAGCTTCAAAGTTATGTGACAGCTTGTTTTGTTATATTTTCTAAAGAAACAACTGTGATAAAAATTCTTCTAATGAAGTGATTCTTTTCTTGTATGTTACACAATTCTTAACTAATATTAGGAGCATCTACTTGATTGATCGTCCAGTGAACCCTTCTCTCCTCATGAACACAGTCGCATGGGCACAGTTCTCGGTGATCTGTGCCAACTCTTTCCAAAGCAGTCCCCATTTTCTCATCCTGGGATTACAAACGTAGTCACGACTGCCAAGCAATACAATTTTGAGAAGCAGAACCACAGCTCAGAGTCTGTACTCTCAAGTACTTTGGTTAAAAGTCACCAGGATGCCACTTAAACATCGCATTTTTCTTTCTTTTCCTACTGACTGAATTGGCCCAAGACTCACTGACATGCTTGTGCACAGCTGACATGGGTGCTAAGCTGCAGCCAGGGAGGAATGCGTGTGCCAGCTGCCGTGAGGCAGTGAACTTAAAACCAAGTCGGAGAGGGTTTGTGCAGTGGCTGCTGTGAACGGCCATACAGTGAGGCCCTCACATGCAGGTCCTGAGACACTGCCTCTCCCACCCCATCTCAGCTGACCTCCAGACAGAACACTTCCTTCTGACCTCAGTCCTTCACTCTGGTGAGTTCCTACCACTGAGAATAGCCTGCCCCTTCGTCTGTCCTGCCCTAATGCTGCACTCCTGCAAGGTCCAGCTCATGTCCTCCCTCATTTTTCATTCGCTCAGCAGTCACATTGGCAGATACAGAGGTCAAGATGTATTCTCTCATTAGCTTAGGTCAT